GTTTGACGTGAGCTGTGTTAAACTCCCCGTGGTTTTAGGTTCCAGCACTTGCGAGTGATTTATGCCATACGTTTGTGTGTCAAAATCTGCACCTTTGTTTGCTTAATGACCATTTTTTGAAGCACGCTGAGTAGGTGGACTGTCATCTAAATCCCTCGTACTGTTCTTTTACGCTCATTATACTTAAAGTGCGTGTGGGAGGCATGCAGCTTTCCAATCACTGAGTCGAAAGAGGGTTTTTGCCCCTGCAAGTTCAAAAACATCAGTCTAATGTCCTGTAATATTTCCACAAAGCACATCTGCCCTGCTTAATTGGCTCTTTGTAACTGCTGTGATCTCGCATTCAATCAATTTTCATAATTTGGGGAGGCGAATGGTGGAAACCTGTGTAAAAGCTTTTAAAAAGAGTGGATGTGAATGTGCGATGAACACGCTGATGCAGTGTTTGTTTTCTTTCATCGGTGAATAGTTGAATAGTGTCTCCGTTGGCTGAGGTCACGGTGAGACCGTGTGCTCGACACTAAGAGTGGTGAAAACGAGGGCAAACTACAAACCGTTCCACTTATTTTTATTGTCAATAAAAGAATTTGTCATTATTGACGGGCTAAAGCTGCATCGGTAACTAATTTAGGATTGAGCTCGTTGACATGCACATGACCTCGCTGACCCTTTGATAGTTCGCAGTGACAACAACATGTGTGAATTCCTGTTTGTCATTTTGCACCAGTATATCAATGTGGATGTTGAGATATTTGGCTGGAAAAGTATAAACTTTGTCCTCTTGCTAAAGGCGTTCTTGTATACTACTAAATCCAAAGGGTCATCAAATTCATCAGGATTCCTCACTCGGATGTATTGTCATGCATTTGTTTACAGAATGCGGCTGTAATCCATCCTGTAGACATAACAATCAAAGGGATTACGACCAATTCATTAAGTACACCTATTCACCTTAATCGGCTAATCATATGAAAGCAACTCAGTGCGTTAAGGCATGTAGATATGCGAAAGAGCACCTGCTGAAGTTCAAACTGAGCATCGGAATCGGGGAAAAAAAGTAATTTAAGTGGTTAGTCTGAGTATTTCAGAAACTGCTGATCTACAGGGATTTTCCTACACAACTGTGTCTAGGGGTTTATAGAAAATGGTCTTGAAAAGAGAAAACGTCTAGCATTTCTCTGGGTGAAAATGCCTTCTTCATGCCTGAGGTCAGAGGGGAATAGCCAGACTGCTTCGAGCAGATAGTGAGGCACAGGAACTCAAACAGCCACTCATTAGAAGCAGGGCATACAGAAGAGCATCTCTGAACACAGATAGGCTACAGCAACAGAAGAATGCACCAGATGTCGGTCATGACGGCTAAGAACAGAAAACTGGGGCTACAGTTCACACAAGATCACCGAAGTTGGACAGTAGAAGATTTGAAAACGTTATCTGGTCCGACACGTCTCGATTTCTATTGCAACGTTTGGATGGTAGGGTCAGAATTTGGTGTAAATATCCCAAACGCCTGGATCTGTCTTGTTTTCTATCAGCAGTTCAAACTGCTGGTGGTGTAATGGTGTGGGGGATATTTTTGTTGCACACATCAAATCCCTCAATACCAACTGATCATTGTTTAAATGCCACAGCCTTACCTGAGTATTGTTGTTGACCATTTATGACCACAGTGTACCTGTCTTCTGGTAATGGCAATGCGCAATATCGCAAAAATCAAACAATCTGAAATTGGTTTCTTGAACTTGACACTGAGTTTAAGAGCACTCAGATAGCCTCCACAGTCACCAGATCTCAATCCGATAGAGCACCTTTGGGATGTGGTGGAACAGGAGACTCTTACCATGGAATCTGCAGCAACTGTGTGATGCTTTCACCTCAATATGGACCAAAATCTCTGAGGAATGTTTCCAGTTTGAATCTGTGTCGTTAAGAAATAAGGCAGCTCTGAAGGCAAAAGAAGTCCAACCTGGCATTAGCAAGGTGTAACTAAGAGGCTGGTGAGTGTAGTCTCTAAGCTCCAAGAAGATACTTAACACATCCTCTAAAAATCTTCATTCATTCGCTTGGAAAAAAAAAGTATTCAGTTCCTCTGTTCTCTAAAATGTTGTAAGCAACAGCAAACATATGCCTCGATGTTGTAGGTTTACTCAGTGGGCTTTAATGCAAATGCAACAGGGTAATGTTACAAGACATTTTTAAACAATTTATGACTCTAAGGGTGCGATGAAACTACCCCACAAGG